TTACACCATGGAACCGTACACTCGTGTGTTTGAATTTAAAGGAGCTAAGTCATTAACTTTGGCTAGACATCGTGTTGTGCCGTCGTGGGATCTCGTTTAGTATGAAAGGTCAAGGCGAGTAACAAACTGGTTCCGTTAACTTTTACATTTGTGATGTCAGAGAAATGATGCCTCTGCCGTGCGGAACATGTGTTTTTTAATAACTTCATAATTTGCCAGACATTTTTGTTAGTTACCCAAATACATGGCAATTATAATTCGTCAATTTTTGAAATATTAAGGTAGATGATAAATACAAACTGAAAATAAGATATAATACAACTAGAAAAGAAAATCATTCCGGCTTCACTTGTTGATCTTGTTAATTTTATGTAATTAAAAACAACTGTTTGGTGTTGCGTTAGAAAAAGAGAAAAATAATATTTGAGTTTCCGCACTGTCCGTGAACGTAATGATAAAATAAATCCACACAGGGACGGACTTGGGTCCGAAATCTTCGTGCAATCTCGCGGGGGCGCAATCATCGCGGCCGCGCGCCATCAATTATTCACAATACTGATTGCGTCCGAGACGCACGTGGATGTTGCTGAATTATATATGTGAGGCCATTCTGACCGCCCAGGGACGGACTCGAGGTATTGTTGTGTGTTAAATATCGTTTGTTTTGTAACCATCCGTTTTTAAAGACGTGTATCTACGACGACCTCATTTGCAGAGCCAATATAAAACATAGGGTTACTCTGGTTTTTTGATAAAGTATATTTATAAATGTAAAGTTGTCCCAATTGACAATAACCGGGTAAATTTCTCCCCTCACTTTGAAGTCTGATCGCTGGATTCAAAATCCAGAGTGCTAACTATTACACCATGGAACCGGTGACAGTAATACCAAAGTGTTTTCAAGATATCTAAGGACACACGTTATCATAATATTTTGGTGATTTACGGATTCGCAAACTTTTTAAAAATTAAAAATAAAGTCTAAATTGAAGTCCTACCCTGTATTGCACAATAGCCGGGTCCGGGGCAGTGCGTGCTAACAGGCGTTTAGCGTCCGCCGCCGCCCCTGGAGACCGCACAGCACTAAATCCAAATGTTTTTTGTCCTGCCTCACCAGGCTTACCCAGCCCTGTAATCAAATAGTACCTACAAGCCTACATGTTTGTATATTTCTTTTGAATCGTCTACACGCAGGCAAAGACAGATGTGAAAAATGTTGGTCGTAGTTTCATATAACGTGTAACAAATTTTTACTTTAGGGAAAAAAAAATTCGGACGTAGAAAATATCACTAATTATTATCAACATTGTGTCAACTTTCTCCACACAGGATTTAAAACAAAATGTAATAATTTTCCATATATAGGGTGTATCTTGGGCAAGGCCGTTCCTGGTTTTTAGCTTGCCCACACACACACACACACGTACTATTTCAACATAGATAGTAAGGTAGGCGAATTAATCTAGAAAGAAAAATTTTCTCTTATTTTACGGTAACATTTTTTTAAATAAATTAAATATCATACTATAACACGTATAAAGTAGCCATGTGTAATCAGTTCTGATCCGATTTATAAGTTCAGCGCACTTAAAATTGAATCGTTGAGTTGCGGTTCAACAACTAAATTGGCAGCTCATAACTCATCGCAATATATTATTAGTATGTGAGTCGACAAGCCGTGTGCTGACTAGTAGTTCATAGCTCGAAATGTAAATCATAACTCAATCATCATCATCATCATCATCAACTCACTATACGTCCCCACTGAGAGGGTCGGAGCCTACCCAAACTCACGGGTGACTAGGCCATAGTCGACCACGCTGGCCCATTGCGGGTTGATTGACTTCACGAATTTCTTCTCAGATATGTGCAGGTTGCATTACGATGTTTTCCTTCACCGTAACACACATTGGTGCATTGCATCAATCATAACTCAATGCTGCTACAAATTGACCTGAACTGCGAACCGGTTCACTGATCTACAGGTCATAAATTTTACTTTATCCATGTCTAGTATAAAGTGTTGGACGATAACATCGTCCATTAGTTTAATGAGCAATCGATCACGCGTGCACACAGTCGCGTCACTCATCAATGATTAGCAAACACTTCCTAGCCTGACCATTATTAGTAGATGTTTTATTTTTTGCGGTCAATCGTCTATCGTTAGTTCAATATGATTGATTAGTTTGATTGTGTAAGCAGAAATTATTTAGTCCTGATATCCTTTTGATTAGCAGAACATCGTTTTTTGCAACAAATAAGAAATATTTCGTTAAAAATTCACCTTAATTTGTGAAACATTCAGTGAGAAATACCATTTATGTTTTTGAAATAAATCTATAGAAAAATAACATAAGCACATTCCTCTAACTTTTTAAATAGTCTATTCTGCTCCAATATTAAGTTAGACATTGGTAATTAAAAGACATCTTAAGTTGTAATTTGACCCTAAAAGCCTCTATATTGCCTCGCAGTGATAATATCTTAAGGCGACGTAATCTGAGAACTTAGCTGTTCGAAATAAGGTAAGTCGACGTCTCTGAGCAAGATAGTTGTTTATGAGTTGAAGATTAACATAATTAACATAATGTCTATTAATTTGTTCTTAACATATTTTCTTAGTCGAAAACGGCTTCATTTTCAGTTTAAAGGGGGTTTTACGGTTAGAATATCGTGTTGCAAACTAAAGATTTTTGTATCAGTTTGTAAATTTATTTTCATGTCTTATTTTTACGTAACTTTTTCATCCATCCAAACATTCGCATTTTTTTTTATTTCATAAGGTGGCAAACGAGCGAGCGGCCACCTGAAATCGCTGAAACAGCGAAGCGACTGCTGCCCATAGACATACGCAATTGCATATGCGTCGCCCACCTTCAATCGACGGATGAGAGGATGCACACAAAGAAAATATTTTTCCTTTCCATACATCCTCTCATCCAGAAAGTCCACTTCCACTTTCCATTCTTTTCTTATAAGAAAAAGGGTGGGAAGGGAAAGATGACTAAATTAGGCCTCCGGGACGCACACTCATCAGACGAAACGCGGAATCGCTTCCACTTCACACCTGTCTGCTGTGTGGATTTATAATACTAACAAGCTGTCGCGTAACTCCGTCCGCAAGGGATTAATTTTTTTTATATCATAAGGTGCCAAACTAGCGAGCGGCCACCTGATTGCTGAAATAGCGAAGTTACCATTGCCAATAGACATACGCAATCTTCCAGACTATGTCATATTTCACCCGGAGATACCTTCTAACAAACATCCATCTGTTCATTTAAATATTCGCTTTTATAATATTAGTATTTTATGTTAGTTTAAGGGATAAAAATAAAATATCAAATTAATCAATACATTGTCATTTATTGAAGTGAAAGTTGCTTAATAATAATATAATTTGTAATAATAAGTAATAATGACATAAGGATTGCACATTCCTCTTTGGATTCGTTATTAATTCTAACGTTATTTTCTATACAATATTTACATTGAGTATAATATTTTTACTATTAATTTTTAAAAATCTCTAGAAGATAAAATGTCTAAAATAAACTAATAATGTACATATATACTTACAATTTATAGATAAAATTTTAAACAATTTAATTATTAAAATATTCAAACAATATTTTATTAGGAAAAATTAAAATACATCTTATATTAGAAAATTATTTTGTATACATTTTATAAGGAAAATTACGACTAATTTGTAAATATAGTATACATCAATATTATGGTATTAAAAACTATGTTAAAAATTTAATTTATGGCACTATAATTGTAACAACAAAATAACACTATTAATAAAAGTGTCTAAAGAAGTTATTTTTAATTTTACATTATTAAAAGGACATCAATTGACTATTTTAACGATGTATGCCATTGACCTCTGTAAATGGACTGGCTATGACACCTAATATTTTGTGCCTATTTGAATTCCTCCATTTTGCTGCTAGAATCAGTTTGTAGCGGTGGTGTGGATTCGAACTTATAATTAGTATATAATTAACTGTCACGTAACATCAACAAGTGCATTGAAATTGGAACGAAGCAAAAACTGTAATTTCCAAGCAATTGCCTATCCATTTATAAAGATCAGTGATGTATACAGATTTAATTAATATTTAGTACAAAGTAATTATTTGTGTGCGAATAAATGAGCGAAACACGTACAAATATTTACACATAATCGGGGGCGCCGCAATTCCACCACTAAAGCGAGCACAGTTAAATTATAATTCCGTTAACTAAATTTAATAGTATTTTTGGCAATATATTTGGATTTGGTAAAAAACATTATAAAACTCTTAACTCATATATCCTAAAGTTTATTAAAAAAAATTATAGGAATGATAAAAATTGGAAAAAGTATACATTTTTGGAATGATAAAAATTGGAAAAATACATTGTATTTTGTTCAGATTTACAACCTAATGGAGTGCATCTAAATATTTACTAAAACACTTTATAACTAACATAGTTTACGAACAAAAAGATAGCTTTAAGCTAGAAATAAAAAATGCCACCGAACCTACAAAACTTTTTTTGGTAAAAAAAAAAAAATTAAAAGTATACGATAATCATAATGAATTCGAAAAGTATTTGCAGGAAATGAAAATTTATAAATCAGGAAATAAACTTTTGAACGTAATATCTCTAGAGATGTTTGACATAAATTATCGTGTTAGTACAAACACCGAATATTTAACAAAACTTATAAACAAAACAGCCTGTACTTTCACGATGAGATCAAAATTTAAAATAAAAAGAAGCCTTTACATCTCTATTAAGCTAACAACAAAGTTTTTCTTAATGGTAACATACCTCTTAGGTGATATTACATGACTAAACATACATCTACGTATCTTAATCAATGTCGCAGCAAAAGCTTTTTCCTAATAAAACTTTATTTTCATTGAAATAAAGTTATTTTTTACATTTGACGTTTGATAAGCCAGCGCTTGACCACGATCCCACCTGGTGTTAGTGGAGATTTGGTCGAAAGATGGTACGCGCTAGCTTAGTAAGTGCCTATTCACTCGGTATATACATTTATTTCTTAATTGCATTCGTCGCTACGGCTCGAATTACCTCATATGCCATATTAGTCTGTAGATTAAATAGATTTAATATGCGACATCAATGTTTACTTAAAGAAAGTGATACACAACAATAAAGATCAGGAGTTTTTTCAAAAATATGGCAAAATAAAAACCCAGGCATCAGAAATCTACTGAGCTACCTTAATACGTAGGTAACTGTATTATCGAATTGTAAATTTTCCTGACAGATTGAACTTTTACAATAAAATCACATTGATACGTCGAAAGAATCTTTGGTGCAAGCCTAGGTACACGAAGCGCCCACTCAAAATTGAATTCTAACACTTAGGAGATAAATGTGGTATTGCCTCAACGCCAGTCGGACGGCGCGAAGGCTGCCGAGGTTCAGGAGGGCAATGCCTGCAGGGGCGGTACAGCGCTGCTCAGGTGGCTGCGGAAGTCGGGGTGCGGGGGGCGCAGCTCGGGGTGCGGGGGACGTAGGTCTATGGAAAAAAGGTTAATTAGAACTCATAAAAAGAAACATGTGTGATTTACCACTAGATTTATAACAACTGTGTTTGTGATTGATTGATAAAAGACGAAAAAACATCTATGTTAGTTTCAACACCTTACCTATTCGGTGTTCGACCGCATGCATATCCTGAGCGTGCATACCATGCACGTCAGTGTGGGGCAGATGCTGGGGTGCCCTGAGGTCTGCGTGCTGGGTCTCCCTGTGTCTTCGTAGGTCCACCTTGCGCTGAAAGGCACGACCGCATAGCTCACACGCGAACGGCTTGAATCCAGTGTGCTTGCGCGAGTGTGTGATCAGATTGGAGCTCTGGCTGAAAGCTTTGCCGCAAACTTGGCATTTGTGAGGCTTCTCACCTGTGGACAAATGATTTTCTTTTATTAACTAAATAGATAAAAGTGTGGTCAAATAAATTTAAAAAAAACACGGTTGTCTGTTAAAATACAGAGCCATCTATTGTCGAAAAAAATTGATAGTGATGTTTTATTTTTTTTATTTCATTTTATTTAATAAAATATTTTTTGAATACTTAAAAGTAAGTTGCTTAAAAATTTCTAAACTTTTTTATTGCTTGTTTTTTTTTATTAAAATATTTTTTTAGTAAACTATAGTGTAGAAAGCATCGTAGACTTGACATATTGCGGCAGGTTGGTCGGCAAGTAATCCGTGCCAAAGTCCTCCGGTATCGACCCGCTCTGGAACGACGTGAGGAGACGTCGGTCGCTAGCTAGGGTTGCCACCTACTACTTCATGAATATTTTTTTATATGTATTATTGGTATTTTATATCATGGCGTTGTTATATTTATTTATTGATTTACTATTATTTAGTGAAGTAATTAAACGCGAATATGTCCACTATTTCAGTTCTCTGAAAATTAGAATAATATTATCTAAGTTTTAATTTATAGGCGACAACCTTATTGAGATAACGTTCCACGTGCCTATATTAATGCAGGTGTGCGTAATCTGTGCGGAGTCCGGCCCGCATTAGGGATGCGGCCCGCAGCGCGCCGCCGCTGGACTTACAAAAATTTATAGCCTCAGCTATATACGCTATTAACCGTTTATGTATCGTGATTCGAGCGCGAGAGGAATTTAATATCCACTCACTTCATTGTACGCCTCTTTTGTTGGCCGACGGCGTCTTCTTAAGTTTTCATTCTTTCCTAACAATACATAAAGTTAATTAATAATATATGTTGTACGTTAAGTACGTCATCTATTGGGGTTGGCAGGAAAGCGAAATTCATACAATTCATTTGAGCATATTGAAGGTTTTTCATTTAGCGAATTTTATAAGATATTATTTAAGTTTGTCTTAAGCAAGTCAAACTTGATGACCCTATTTTCAGTTATGAGTTTTTTTACGAGGCTGTGGTAATTTATGATTATAACAATTTAGTCCAATGCCAGCTTTAAGTACCAGGCGAGCATAAATTGCAATGAGTCATTTGTCTCGTTGTAGGCAAAAGGCATTGCGTGGCGACGCGCTTGCAACAGGAAAACGCATCGAGCGACCAATACAGCGCCCGGTAGGTAATTACCTACACAAATCACGGCGGCGCATTGATACCTAACACTTGGGTACTGTATTTCGAAAAAGGGCCTTCGAGTCCGTCAATCAAGGGGTCCGGCGACTTCATTAGAGGAAATGGGAGAGGTGGCGCAGTCTATCTGTCCTCTCGCTCCCGCATCGGTGTCGCGACTCGAGAGCAATTTATATCCGTCGTGCCATTGGGCCGTGATTGCGGCGGCTCCTCCCCGCGTCGCATAGCAACCGGAAAAGGGGGGGCGCCTCCACTCCCACCCCCCGGGGTGGTCGGGTTATGGATCGCAATTTTCCTTTGAATTGGAAATCAGAGCGGCCGAGCGGCTCGTTAGCCGACCTCGGATACAGATTTCGCGGCAAGATGCTGGCAGCTCGAAGTCGCGAATTGCGAACTGCTCTTCGGCGTTTTCTTATTGCGCAATAAAACGAAATATTCTATCAGTGAGAAAATCTCTCTCGATTTGAATTAATATGATCACAATGTGTCTGGTATACATTGTAAAATAATAAACGTCCGAAAAAATCTAATGGAGCAGAAAAGTTCATTTCCACAATCGTGATAGAAACAGAAAAAAACATTTTTTTTATATCATAAGGTGGCAAACGAGCGAGCCACCTGAAATCGCTGAAATAGCGAAGTGACCGTTGCCCAAAGACATACGCAATTGCATAAGCGTTGCCTACCTTTAAGCGAAACAAAATATCTCTCTATCAATTAATTTCAAGATTAGAGATAGAAAATTTTAAAAGAAATAAAAAAGACGTGACATTTATAACAACAATAAATAATCTAAAACTTAATCATACAATTCAAGTATTAAACATAAACCCTTATAACTATTTGCGGTAATCTTAAATATGTAACATCCTGTATTCAAATTACACGTCTTACACGTATTACTTGGAAATTATTACCAAGTTTACGGAAAGTCCACGGGCGGAGTGCGTAAAATCTACGCCGCGCGTCTCCTTAACAGCGTAATTACGGCGCGATATTACGGTGGGGTGAGTGTGAGGTAGAAGGGATGGGAGGAGGGCCTTAATTGTTTCAAGGGTCCCTCTGAGAGCTTCACCAGTGAATTTGACGACGTTATTGATTGCGCCGTAGTGAGTTTGATTTATTTGAGGCGTCTGAAAATTGAAGACTTTTCTATTATGTCTTAGCTGGCCTTATGGAATGAATAGATATTTATCAAGTTTCTAATTTATGATCTTTATGTATGCCATTTATGTAAAATTAGAGAAAATCGAAGAATATATTATAATTTAATAATATATGTTTTAATGTATAAACATAGGTTTTATAATTTCTAACAGATTTAATTTAATAATACGATAAGACTAATTGTAAAACTGTCAATTTTTAGTATGAAATGAAACTATGTTAAGGCTCCAATCTGAAAGAGTTTCATAGTAAAGTGTACCAGTATTAAACTGAAAACATTGTGGAATATTATAGCTATCTCTTCTTTAGTCCTGATCATCGCGAGGTAGTTATAAACCAACTTGAGTTGTAGATGTATGATTTACCTACAGAAAGGTCCTTTCTTTTATAATATCGTCCTATATTTTTATGTTCGACTTTACCTATATAATTAAGGCTTAAGCATACTGCTAATGTTATGTATATATAATGATTTCTTAATAATTATATAGAGTTGAGATAAATACTCAATCAGAGGTGCTATTCTCGTTTTAGAGTGGAAGCCAGCCGTCTTTATCTCGTATCGTTTGATCTGAGGCGTGCAGTCTGCGGGTTATGTTCGTGTAAAGCGAACCATGTCTATTACGACTGTGTTGAATCGTTCACTGATTTTTACAACGCTAGTTACTATTTCTCAACTTACGACTGTCTTAACTAATGAGGCTAGAAGTTTTTTTAGAAATATGTTTATTAGTAGGTAAATATTAAACAATATTAGGATATTTTTTTAGCTAACTGAAGAGTGCTTTTTATCTATATTTAGTTTTTTGTGTATTAAAGTTTGAATATTAAAGTACTACACAAAATTTGATAATAGTTAATTAGTAGTTAATAGCAGGAGCTGTTTTCCGCGACTCCACGATTATTTTTTGCAATTAGGTACATTTACCTTTCCTATTATATATAATACAATGGTATTATGTAAACTTACTTAAAAATAAAATAAACAAAAAATATTAAAGCTGTGCGTAATACAACAGAGCTTAAAGCTCGAACTTGAAACATAGTAAAACGTTAAGTATTAAGTTTGCCGGTTGTGATTGAACGAGCGCCGGCGAACGATAAACGTAAATCCCAGGTTTACGGAATACGGAGCTTTTGAAACCAGATCCGGCTTTGTTTTTACTTTTTTTTAAAGAATTTATTTAAATGCAATATCTACTATTATTACACAAAATAAATTGTTGCTTGACCTCGGTCCTACCCGATATTAAGTGATGTGGTCGAAAGATGTTAAGCTCTTTTTATATGAATTTAAAAAGTTCCATTCGTCGACCACTATAGATACGAACAAAGGCATATCTTTCGTCCTACAAAAATAATTGCGAGCGGTCAAAAATATTCTCTGCAAAATTTACTTATTAAATTATATTCAATATCATAGCAATCTGTTAAAAACAGACGCCGCACTTGATCGTCTTAGAAATCATTACCGCCCATTATCGGGGCAGTAAACGCGAGATTCGCAGTAAAACAGACATTAATACAATTAAATTACATCCCGCCTAAATCCGTCCCTGTGCCCTGATGTCTGTGCAATATCACAGCGAAGGATTTTTATGGAGACGTATACTTTAGGCGCTTGTGAATTAAATATACGAGGCGGTAGACTTAAAGTGCTTCCGCCGCTGTAAGGATTTTGAGAAATATGATATCGCCCGTTTTAGGAGCGGATTTAATAACTTTTAACGGCGGTAAAAGGCTTTATATACGCTTTTAGCAAAGTATAGGAATATTAATTTGTAATCTGAGCATGAAGGTACTCTTTAATTATTTTTCCTTTATTATTCGGCGGCTTAATTTATAATCAGACAAGTCGAATTTGGGTTATCTAATTCTTTGGACCACAATCTTCTATGAATCCTAGGATTTAGTAAAATAAAGTTATAAATGGAAAAATCCATAAATTACAAAATGCTATGTGTTTCTAACGCCCCAGTCTACGCCGTTTTTTATAAGACTGTGAATTATTAATTTCGCGTGGGTAGTCGCTTAAATTATTGTTATAGCTTTTTTGCCATTACTAGGGGAAGGGAAGATCCTTGATTTTTACGAAACTCCTACACAAAACTAATTTTATATTGCCGTTTTATTGAATTCTCCTGAACTACTTTACTAATATCATAAATGCGAATGTTTGGATGGATGGATGTCTGTTAGAAGGGGTCTCCAGAACGGCTATAAGTATCTCGCTGGAATTTAGCATGGATGTAAGAAGTCTGAAAGAAGACATAGGCTACTAATTAAGTTTCTTGATAGATCCGTGCGGACGGTGTCGCGGGCGATAGCAAGTTATGTTATAAAAATTATACTTTAAACCCATCATCGTAGAACAGCTTTTGAAGTGGCAGTATATAGTAACATTATAATTTTGTTTGTTTACGAAGACCACGACTGGAACTTTAGAGAAAGCTCAGGTGTAACTAAAATGCACCGCCATAGCCACTAAAAGTAGAGTCGGCTGTTAAGTTTCGGCTCCCTAAACTAAGTACTCTATTTACATAATTAATGAATAGAAACCTTTGAATGTGTTTTAATTTACATATTGTTTTGGTTTTAAAATAATTTGTTGAAAGCGAGACTCTTAAGAAAAAAAACTTA